GAGACGTGTAATTTTTCACATAATGTAATAATTTCTCAATTAACTTTCAAAACGCGTGCAGGAGTGAAGCAGAAAAATTCAGGACTCGTTTTTATGTTTCATGAAGACAGTCACTGTTTTGTCGTAACCACACAATAGTGTCATGGTCGTAGCATAAATTTGTCAAATAGTGGAAGTTCTGAGACAGTGAAGAAGATGTCCCTCTTACAGGTCTTGGTTATCATTGCACAAGGTGTCGCAATCAAATGTCGGAATGGGTTTATCGGGAAATGCAATCTCTTGACGAGGTGGCTCTGTTTCAACTGTGTATCGGTCATGTATGGTTCTCCTCGGATCCTGCAACGTGTCTGGTGTATGGGCACAATGTTAATGCGCACAAACATACCGAATATCTGCTTCAGATCCCAAAAAAAAAACAAAGATTTGTGATATGGTTCACGTAATTTGTCGGTGGATATTTGATTTTTTTTTTTTTTTTTTTTTAATTTGATACACGATTTATATTAATTTTGTCCGAATATGTTATATTGTAATCGAAATCAATATGGCGACCGTGACCGACGAACTATGAATCTACGGCATTGCGGTTTCTTGTTTGAACATAAAATATTTTTATTAATATATATATTTTTTAATTTTTTGATATTGGGTTGTAAAAAATTTAGGTAAAATATTTTATAAAAAAAAAAATAATCAAAAAAGATATTTTATGTTGAAACAAAGGCATCATACATTTTCCAAAATCATGCAATAATATTAAATCAAGAATACAATATTATTGAACATCTATATAAAAGCGTTTGGATTTGCATGATTTGTTATTTATACTTTATTTTTTATTTCCAAAGAACTGAAAATAGAAAAATTATACACAAATTTTACTTGGTTCTGTTTTTAAAAATTCACTTATAAAAAGATTTTACTTTAAATTTTATTTATTTATTTTTAGAGCACATATATTAACCTCATAACACACCTACCATTGAAGCAATGAGTACGCCCCTATTTTAAATACTTGATACGATGTATTGGGTTCACAAGTTAAAATGCATAAAATAACCTATACACCAAAAAAAATAATATAAAATAAAATAAAAACTCACACCATCCATGTCTGATGTTGTTACTTGTGACTTGTCCAGAGAGGCGGAACTATGTGACCAAGAGGGGCCATGGTCCTCCAAAATTTTTGTAAAATTCTTAAAACGTAAGTTCCCATATATAGTTAATTTCAAATTAAAAACAAGATTGAAGCATATGACCCCATAAAATTTATATAAAAAAATTTAAAATTCAATTTGTCTTATTTAATTATGCTTATGAAATAATTCCTATCTCTATTATTTTTTCATTTTATTCTTATGAAATACTCTAAAAATATATAAATATTCTTATGATTTGCAATCCCACCCAAAAAGGTAAGGGCTCGTTTCGCGCATGCGATATTTTTAGGCGTTATATTTTTGTTAATACCAAAATAATCGACCATTTTGTTGTACGAGTGTTTTGGGTAGAAATCGAAATCATATTTGGTAACTAAAATTTATTTTGGGAAATTAAAAAATTTGTTTTTATTCCTCCATTAGAATATCAAAACGCACAATATCACCAATTTGGTGATATGAGTTTGGAAAAAAAATTATGATATGTTATAAATTATTGCAAACCAATATATTCATCCTAAACATGAAATGTGCCCAAATTTGAAGACCAATATTAAAAAAACAATATCATAACACATGTAAGGCTAACACCCAACTTATATATATCCCATCAGTCTCCCATCCAGATCCGATGTAAGACAAACTTCTAATATTTTACCTAACTCAAACTTGCAACGCCCTTGTTGCTGCTCGGGCCACCTTATCTATCCGAGTGGTGGATTCCGACAAGAAATGAGTATCCCCCAAATACCAACTGTAACGGATGAATATTTCACGATCTGATTTAAAAGTTTAAACTATTTAATGGGGTCACACTCAACCCATATATACCCAATCACTCGTATGGGACAAACCTCAAACAGCCATACAATGCCATGTGCACCCAACAATAAAATTCTGGAGAGTCGTTTTGTCTACAAGAGATCCCTTGTTGCTGCTCAAAAAAATGAGTTGTCTATTCAAAATATTTAGACACAGTATTTTGTTTTTGTTACAAATTATTTAATTGATTCGTCTATTCAAAACATTTAAATAGAGTATTTTGTTTTCATTGCAAATTATTTAATTCAAAGTATAACACAAGCAAATGAGCTAAGGATGAAATTAGAAATTAAAAATTTTTTTAGTGATAAATTTAAAATTACGAAATAACTAACGACCACCTCTAACCCTCTAATTATATTTAGCCGCCCTGAAAGAAACCAAACAAAATGTAAGGTATGAAGAGAGGGCAAACACACACTGGTCAACTAATAAATGCAGGTTGGTTTTGAAGTTTAGAGTTGTCATGGACTCATGTGGATAATAAGGCCCATCAAATATTGCCTTGAACACAGAAATATTCACATGCTAGTTTGGCACTTTTGCTTTCATCATTTCTTTTCAGATTTCAAGAAAAAAATTAAAAAAATAAAAATTAAATCCAATGACCTATAGAACTAAATAAACAATAATAATAACTCAAAACTTCCCTTAGCCTAGCGTCATAAAGTGTTCCTTCTCCTTCTTGTCATGATTTAAATAAATTATTCTCCGTCGAGTTTTGATTCTTCTCTTTCTCTATATGGGAAAAGGTATAATTTATATATCATTCGAGGTTTAGTTATATATATATTAAAAAGTTTAATTTTGTGGCTCTGTTTGTTTAAAAGTAAAATATTTTTTTATTTTATAATTTTTGATTGTCGTAAAATATTTACGAAGAAAAAGATATTAAAACTTAGCAAAAATGACTTACTCATTAATTTTCTAGCAAGTTATTTTACAAGCGTCGCACCATGGATTGGACCTCAATCTCAACCTAGACATTCGCCAAATATCGAAAAAGTAAAAATAAAAAAAATATTTTACCTAAAAAAAAAAACAATCTTTTCAAAATAAATATTTTTTGGAGCCTGAATACCAAAAACAATTTTTTTTTTTTAATAAAAAAACTGTCATGTTCATGCATAGTGGTGTTCAAACCGGAGGCCCAAAGGAAAAGCCCAAAAACAAGTCCTCTTGTACATTTTCATATACATGCATAGTTTATGAGGTAATTTATGGGCCTGAAGACCAGACTCAAAAAAGTTACCAATGACCCAATATATCTAAATTGGAAGTGGGGAAGGGCACGCCCCAACTAAGACAAAAGCCCAATAATTAGCATGGCCCAAAGGCTTTTAAATAGCTGATAACCGTAATTCTTGAATAATACTTTATTACTTTTGTTGTATTAATGATATGGTATCACCAATCTATTAAATACTAATACATAGTGATACGATTCATTAAAATAAATTATTTTTATTTATGTGACAAGATATGATTGGTTGATGGCATCGAGAATATTACCGATGCAAGTATGTTTTTCTAGTAACTCTCAATTGAAAAGACAACGTATAATTGGTTGATGGCAAAGACGATATACTATCACTAATGCAAGTATGTCTTTATGTAAATGCAATTACAAATGAAATAATTTATACAAGATATAATTGGGAATATGAAAATTTGTGAGGCCAATTCTGTAATGTTCATGATGCACTCACAGTGGTCATATTTATAGGTTTTATATGATATTATGTTTATAAAAAAAGCAAAAAGTCATCTTAATTTCTTTTTCACTTTATTATATTTTAGACGGACTTTTGCGTAGACTTTGCAACAATCAACAAACCAATCCAACACATTTTGGAGCAAAATAACGTGTGATATGACGCGGATGCTTACTTTCCTATTTTTTATTTTATTTTATTTATTTATTTTTTTGTGTTAATAATGTGGATTCTTAATTAAAAAGAAAAAGAAAAAGAAAACAAAAAAGCAGATACTCGTGAATTATAATGGCGAAAGACAAATTATCATTATTATTTTTATTATTCTGTGTAAATAAAGTTGGACACATAAATTCTCTTTTACGGTACGGTGAAAGACAAATCTTGATTTTGCCCGTAAAATTTTACTTGAAAAAAATTCAAGAACTTCCGAATTGCAATACATTTTATATTAGTACTATATAAACCTAAGGAAAAAAGCAATAGAAAAATCTTGATGTAAGGGAAAAATTAGTTTGGGTTTGAAAATGAAAAATTTCAATAGGATCTCAATGAGGGAATTAAGCTCAATATAAAGTCCAATCTTTGTTAGTAATATTATTGTTTTTTAAATATTAGTAATTAAAATATAGCAATATCAACTTGAGCTTATTATAATATTAATCCAATCCTAACTCGAATATATTACACCCAACACATTCCTATCTCTATCTCGAGTTTAATTTGAACATTTTCAAGTTAGGGTCTATTTGAATTGAGGATTTTATTGTGATTGAAATAAGAGGTAAAGAAAAGAAATGATTTGGTGAGACACCTCATGCTGTGTGTTTGTTTTGATTACAAGATTAATTAATTTTTACTTTTTCATTTTGTTTATTTTATTTTTTGGTGTTTGGTTATTGTAAAATATTTATAAATAAAAAAAATTAAAACTTAACAAAAATTACTTACTTATTAATTTTTGATAAATTAATTTACAAGTCGTAAACTATCGACTTCAATCTCGACTTAACCCTTTATCAAATACTGAAAAAAAAAAAATATATATATATCTTACCTAAAAAGAAAAAATATTTCTAAAAAAATTGTTTTACGTCAAAATAAACCGATCCTCAACGAGTGTCTGTTTCTTTGAGTAACAGGTTGATAAAAATAATTTTTACTCTATATAAGGAAAAAAAAAAAAAAAAAAAAAAAATGAAACCTTTCTCAAACGGGTCAATCCAGTATCCACCGATCCAACTCAAAAAGTCCACTGAAGATTTATTCGGGCTTGGCTTTTTAGCCCACTATGACTGAAACCAATCATCTCTTTCTCTCTCTATCTCTTAAAAATCCATTGGCCGCTTATCTCCCCACTCTCTCTCTCTACAGCTCCGCAAAACCTCTAAAAACCCTCTCTTTCCCCACCACCACCGCCGTTGACGGCGGCGAAATTCCCCACCTTTTCCCCACCGATCAAATCTCACAATGGCGGCGACAGCGGCCTCGGACGTCACCGACGGACCAGTTCTCAACTTCATCAACAAGCGCCTCCGTGCCCTCAAAAAGAAACAGAACCGAATCCTCCAAATGGAAGAGGCCATCGCCCAAGGCAAAATCCTCAACAAGGAACAAGAAGACGTCCTCCGCTCCAAACCCTCCGTCACCGCCTCCATCGATGAGCTCGAGAAGCTCCGCCAACCCCTCTCCGTTGCCGTCGCAGACGAGATCAGCCTCGCCCTGCAACGCCACCAAGTCTCCGCTTCCCCTCCCGTCGAATCCACTGTCACCGAAGACGATAAAGAGACAGAAGTTGAGCAGAAAATCACCGACGTTGAACATCAATCGGACCATGGAAACACTGTCGTGGAGGATCTCCTGAACCTCCTCTACTTTGGGACTATGTTCGATGTGAAGACTGCGAGTGATTTCACTTCGACGATTTTGACTCGGACGCACGAGCGAGGGTGTTGCTTGACCTACGATTACGTGACCGACGACGAGTCCACCGATATGCTCGGTGAGAGGGACTTGGATTTGATTTCGACGTTGGGCGGACTATTGGTTTCGAGGCCAGTCGATTCGAGTCTGTCGCACAAGAATGCTTTGAGGAGGTGCATGGAGCACGCGAAGCTATGGCTTGCCAACTCCGATCAGCCGATTGATCCAGATTCGAACATTACCTGTATGGTTATTGTGTTAAAAATTTTGCATTTTTATGAAATTTATGGATTTGTATGTTTGTTTTGGTGATGGTAATTGATGATTTTGTAGATGCGGCATTGAGAGCAAGGCTCAACAAGATTATGGCATCAGACTACTTCACGACGACACCGGAGATGAAAGCAGCTGTAGAGGTGGCTGCTGCAGCTGGAAATTATGCCTTGCATGGGTCTATGGTGCCAGTGAATGTGCCCGTCCAAGTGGAAGGTTCTGATGTGGAATATCAGCAGAAGGTAAATAGTTGATGTACTCCTAGACTAGTGGGATTAAGATATTTTATTATTGTTATTTCTCTTTTTCGTTCTTTTATCTGAATGGTAAGAAAAATTTTCCATTATAGTGTTATCTGCGTTTGCTTTGTGGAGGTCTTATCTGAAAACATGCTACATTGATATTTTTGGGAGCTTTTAGAACTTGGAAGAATCCTAATATCACTCTATGTTATGTTATCAATGTTGGATTTCACCATAAACACATTTTGTTGAAGATATTATGTTCTCTTGTTTCTTGAAGATTTCAGCTAACATAAATGGTGCAGGTTGTATAGCTAAAAAGATTCATTCTCTTCATAAAAAATAGGACGTAGAACCAATAAAGATTTCTTTTTTGATTCATCCCTGGAGTTGAAACTCAAATTCGATTGTATTGCATTACATGGTGTTTTGTTCTTGCTATTGTGTTTTATTTGCCATAACAGATTCTATTATAAGGAATTAAGAGTAATCGTGGAAGTTATATTACATTCAACGCAATAAAGGTTTTAGATAATGCTTCTTTTATCGTGGTAGGATAATCTGGATGCAAACCTGAGCGCTATGAAGTAGTGGAATGAATTTGACGGGGAAGCCCTCATCCACATAAAGTGATATTTGGAGGGTGGTACCCTTTTGCGTTTGGTGGTGCGTTTGGAAGGAGCGGAATAGAAGATCTTTTGATGGGGAGGAATCTTCCATTGGGGCTTTGAAATTTCTTATTATTAGCTCTCTTTTTTTGTTGGGTGATGGAGAGAAATTGTAAATCTATATAAGAGTTTGTTGATTTTTTGGGTTCATTGGATCCACAGGACCTCTTTCTTTGGCTTCCGCTTTTTTGTAATCTTCGGGATGCATTCCCCTTTTGAACGCTTTCTAATATATCTTTCCTTTTCAAAAAAGAAAAAGAAAAAAAATGCAGGTCAGAATGGGGATGGAATTATCTTAATATGTTGAGGCAGTAACTGAGTTCTTTGAAAGACGAATATTCTTATCACACGCTTATAGGAGAGAAGGTGGTTTCTCTTGTAGTAGTATTTACGGTACATTTGCTCCTCTTGAAGTGCCCAGTCTTTTCTGAAGACAATTATTTCTTGCTAATTTGATTCATTAGGAGGTAGCGGAGGATCCTAAACCTAATAGGTGTTTCACATGTAATATATAAGGACTAATAAACAAATGACCTTGTCATTCATTGTTTTGTGTCAAGAGATAGATTATTTTTGTTTCATTTGTCTGAAGGCTTTTAGGTTCATGTTCCTTATTTATAAGAAGCATGGGCATGGACGAAACGTTGACATGATAAATCTTAGAAAGTAATGCATATGCATGAACTTAAAATACATATTTTATATACAAAAATTAGATTTTATATAGCAATGTAGTTTCATAAAAATCGAATCCAATAGACTATCTGAAAATTATTATTCATGAATAGCACTCTTTTTTGTTGGGTTCTAGGGATAAATTGTAATTCCAAGGAGGAAATTGTTATTTTTTGGAGACTCTGAGAGATTAGAGGCCCTATTAGGCCTTGTGTTTCTTCTGAGGGATTCGTTCCCCTTTTGAACGCTTCTTTTATACAATTTTACTTATAAAAAAAATACTTATAAAAAAAAGAAATTATTCATTAATTTTATAGTCATAGTCACCCTCGACCTATCGTGAGAGTCAAAACAAAAAGCACAATGTTATTTGTTCATGTATTGTTTTGTTTTTGTGTTTGTATATGTCCCACCAATGAAATGGCTCATCCTTATTCCATGTCTGTTCCTTAATTAAGACTCTTCCAACTTTTGCTTTCTGACATATTGAGAAAGTCAAAACAAAAAACACAATACTATTTGTTTATGTATTGTTTTGTTTTCGTGTATGTATGTAGATATATATTTGTATTTGAACCCCCAATGAAATGACTCATCCTCATTCCCATGTCCGTTCCTTAAGTAAGACTTTTCTAACTTTTGCTTTCTGGTATGGTCAAACTTTTTATGAATATTGTATAAACCTTTAATCTGATTTTTCTTTGTAGTTGGACGTTTTTTCCACACCAAAAGAAAGTCTTATCTAATGTGCAGGGTTCACTGTTCACGTGTTGGTTAATGTAAAAAATGTATCTTCCATGTGTATTAAATGATTAAACTTTGTTTTTTAGACACATTCAAAATCTGTCGAGCATGTTTCCTCCATGGAAACATCTTGTTTTCGCAAGTGTTGTGCTTCTTAGCTTATTTCTTTGGCTTAATCAGGCGACTAATCTGTCTTTGTCCACACGGTTTTTACGGAGCTTATTCATTAATTAGTAAAATGGTAAAAGTCTTGGGTGCCAAGCTTGAGAATCATGTTTGAATTTTAGAGTAGCATTTTCTTTAGAATAATCTTGGGTGCCAAACTTGAGAATCATGTTTGAAATTTAGAGAAGCATTTTCTTTAGAATAATTCAAAGGTTATGTTTGTGTCGAGTTCATCCCTCCACCTCATCACGTAGGCATACCTTTATTTATTTTTTTCTTTTGATTCCCATTTGTGCATGTGTTGATTCCTTATTTTATAATTCTCTTTAATGTATTTTCACATAAAAATAAAAATAGGGGACATTTTCTATCTATGTAATTGTTGGGAAGCCTTTGTATTGTGTTCATAACACTAGCATGAGTGGTAGGTACTATTGGGGTGCACATAATATGATGTGTGATATTCTGAATGTAGTGATCAAAGTTTTAAATCATCGTTCATGAAAGAGCAGAATAGGGTAGTATTACTTCTCTTTCATGAAAATAAACTAGATTGTTAGTAATGGGAACAGGTTTGTTGTTATGGAATTGATTTAATCCCCAAATTTTGGAGACTAGGGCATGGCTAAAGTTTTGTCTTTCTTTTCTATATTAGAAGTTTTGGAGAGAACTCCTTAACTTCAATGATCTGCTTGGCCCGAGGGGCTTCTTTTAGCTCTAAAGAGCTCGCTTAAAACCGTGTTTGAGATAAATAATCTAGGCTCAATCATATTTTAAAGTTTCTTGTTTTCTGAGCTTCCTGGAACTATAAGCTCATTGTCATGTGAAGATTTTATAAGAGACAGCTAGTTGTTCTTAAACTGGTATCTGCTCAAAATTTTGGAATTCGCTTCTTAGACCATGCTCAGTATTCATTTTGGACTTGTTGGTTTGTCAACCAAACCTGAATTGGATACCCCCATTTTCTTGGCTTAGCTTGTATCTACGCTTTTATGTACCTACTTTTCCGTTGCTTTATTGGCAGTTTGTGTTGTAACTATTAAGGCTAGAATCGTATCCTCATCTGCAATTACCCTTGGATAACCTTTTTTCATGCATATATGCACCTCTTTGGTTGTTGGCACGAGTTGTCTTTCAAGAGAAGTGACATGTCCATTTAAGGATTTATTAAAAAGCCTATTCTTTGTAACATTATTCAGTATTGGGCTTGTATCAATAAATGTATCAACATCACCTTGTCTGAAGTTGTGCAAGGGATTATGCGGTCTGTTACTTTCAAGAATTTCTTATAATGGGTTATGAATCTGATGCAGAACAACAATCTTGTTGCCTTTATTGGGAAGCTTTTGTGAAATGTTGGCTCTAAAGAGATAGCTTGAAGCAAATTACAGTTTCGCATAAATCTCCTGTAACAGTTAGTTTCTAATGCAGAATGACAAATTTGTAGCTTTTTTGGAGGCTTTTGTTAAACATTGTTTGTTTTTTGAGATGGTTGTGCTTTTAATGTTGTAGCTTGAATCAAATTCAAGCTGATGACATTTTCTTTTATATATGGTGGCTCATTTCATTTAGAGGAATGGAACAGGCTAATGCTTTTAAAGTTAATTGCAAGTCTTATCGATCCATGTGCAAATGGAACTCTAGTGAACATGTTGATGTATTAGGTAGCGTGAGAAATTTATTAGTGAGGTAATATATTGTAGAGAGAGAGGGCAACTATATCACATATAGAATGAATCAAGACATTTAGAAATCTTTTGTGAAGAGATGAGCCTCCACAATAAAGGCAAATGTATGACTGATACATTTAGGCTTAGTTTGGTACGCATGAATGAAATGGAATGGTAATGGAATGAAGTTGGGAATGGAATGAGAATGAGAATGGAATGGTCATTCTCATTCTATTGTTTGGTTGCAAATATGAAATGATAATCACCATTCTAAATGGTGGTGATGGGAAGCGACAGCGGTGGAAGTTGGTGGAAGAAGGTGGCGGCGGGAATGGAATGACCATTCCATAGGTTTAAATGTGGAATGGATTTTCATTCCTTGGAATGAATTTTTATTCCAAGGACTGGTGATTCCCACTTTAAATTTCATACCAAACAAAGGAATGGTTGGAATAGGGATTCCATTCCGTACCAAACTAGGCCTTAGTAAATTGCAAGTGATCATGTGTCAGGCTAAGTATTCCTCAGTGACTAATAGTACCGTGAGGGAAGGGTGACAAGACTCCCACGAGAAAGTTAAATAGAACATAAAAACTCTAAGCTCCCTACTAGTATGGGGAATCCAGGGCTTTAACAGTGTACCTGTTTACGAATGATCCTGTAATCATAAGAGTGGCTTGGTTAAGGGAACTCATCACAGCCGTTGTGAAATTGAGTCTTTGTACTTGTCACTACTTATTATTCAAAGTAGAATAATAATAATAATAATAATAGCAATTTAACCATATACTAGGTCACTAGTGCCTTGTTATTTACTTCTTTGGCATTCACTACAATCCATTTATGTTATCTGGGTTTATCAAGGACATATTTTTCTATTTAAAAAAATTGGCCATCAAAATTTTTTTTTGGGTCACCTTGACCCACTCCCATTCGTCCTTATTGTGCTTGTGGTTATTCTTGTGCCTTTAACTTAAATTGAATCGTTCTTCCTTACCGGTGCACATATACTTGCACCCCCCATCATTTCTGATTATGTACATGGGTTTTGCCTTGTTAGATTAAGAGATCTATTTGTTCTCCGATTTTTGATGTTCTCTCTCTCTTTTTTTTTTTCATTGATCTAGAAGGAGAGAGTAACATGAAATTAACCTTGATTGATAATGTAACTAGTTGTTACAAGGGAGTCTTGTCCCACATCGGATTCGGATGGGAAAGTGAAAGGTATATTTGAATTGGGGTGTTAGCCCCACCTATTAGCTTAATGTTTTTGGTCGGATCGTGAAGGACCTGACCCGTTACAGTTGGTATCAAAGCCACACCTGGGTAAGCACCCTCGGTTAGGCAGGGTGGCCCGACAACAAGGAGGGCGTTGTGAGTTCTGGTGGGGGAGAATGCTACAAAGGGAGTCTTGTCCCTCATCGGATCTGGATGGGCAAGTGAATGGGTATATATGAGTAGGGTGTTAGCCCACCTAATAGCTTAAGCTTTTTGGTTGGATTGCGAAGCATCCGACCCGTTACACTAGTCCATTTTTTGGCATTTTAGTTCTTAAGAAATAATTCGTTTATAGGGAAAACACGATACTTCATGCCAACCAATTTATGCACAAAAACCATGTCATCATGGTAGAATTTTGAAAGGATATGTATAGTGATTATAAGATTTTTTTAGTGTTGGGTTCAGATATGTAGTCCTTCATGATTCCTTTGTTATATTTTCAAGGGTTTTATTGCATCTCTTGAGTCATGTATTTGACAGACCTTTTACTGAATTTTACTGGTTGATGAATCACTGTCATACTCTTAATATGTTTAATTGAACTTGATGTTGTTGCATTACATCTTTTCAAGCAAATACTGGATAACAAATTTTTGCTTCAAGATTGTTGCTTGATTTGATAACTTCACTGCACAATTAATTTCTCTGAGGGAGTGAAACTTGAACTGGTAAGTGAGGTGTTTCAATAAACTGAAAGGATTATGGTCGAATTTTTGCAAGTTTTTCTTGCTAAGGCTGAGTTAATGACATCGGTATCATGGAAAAAGATGTGAAAATTTTAAGACTTCTATTTTAGTAGGATATGCTTTTGTTTGAAGTGCAATTAATATCTTTTTTGCAAGTGGTCTACCAATTAGTATCAGTCAATAGTTCTGTGAGGGATGTGAGTAATATAGGATCTTTATATTTTATTCTTCCAATCAAATTTGAGTGTTTTCATTGTTAATAATCATGCATAAACATAATTATTTGGTGTGGAAGTATTATCTAATATAGGCACATTTGTATTGAAGGGCCCTATACATGACCAGTTCCTTGCAATCAATTCTATGGATGCGTTTGACAGATGAATGTATTAATCCATATATTCAACATCTGAAGTATTAGTGTTCAATTGATGATTGAAATGTCAATTGCAAACCACCTTTGATGATATATCTACAGTACAAATACTGGCATGTCTGTTGCTTTTCTGTTCCACTTCCATTTGGTCTTTTTGTTTTACGTGCAAATCCTTCTTAAAATGACTTCCTCATCTCTCCTCAATTTGTTTTGGACCCAGCTTCTCACAAGGCATTTATTTATCAATTATCGTTTCATTTTCATATGTATTAATCTCAAACGTTATTTGGATTATTTGGTCTATATAGCATCTTGTACCATAAAAGCATTATAGCTGGTATGGTAGTAGATTCATGTTAAATTGCATTCTTAACTTTATATGTATCTAATATTCACATAATACTAAGAAATCATCATTGTTCAAATTATATGAAAAATACCACCTTCAATCTTCTGTTAAGGATGAGTTTTTTTTTTTTTTTTTTTTTTTTCCTAGTTTGATTTTCTCTGACATGTGGTTTCCAGGAGGGTAGTAGATTAAGGAAGGTAAACTTTAGGATTATGAAAAGATCCAAGCAGCCACTCAAGGCAACTTGATTTCCAGAAGGGATTTAGATAGAAATAGATCCTATAGCTTTTGCTTCTCTAGCCATTATTTCCAATTTATCATCATTCTTCAATAAATTTGTATCCTTGTATAAAATTTTTAAGACGTGCATATATAATAAATCCCATTTTAAAATTATTCCCATTGTTCTGGTTTGGATTTGTGTGCTTGGTCATCTGTTAAATATTCCCTTTTTATTTTTAATTACATGGCAATGGAGTAGCAAAGACTAAAAGCTTTAGTTTTTTGAGTTTCACCCCACATTTTTTTTTCTTCAATTCCAACAGGATTATTCTTGTTATATTATTTATTATTTTCTCTTTCTAAATATGGAATTTTATTTTGTTTGTCCTACTGTCATCCTGATAAATTTATTTGGTGTCATACTGATTCCCTAATTTGTATGTCTTATTTAGGATGAAGACACGGCAAATTTTCAAGAAAATGAAAGCTACGATGATCAGTCCAGTCCTGTTGAAGAATTTCACAAGGTGCTGTTTATAGTTTAACTCTTTTAACACAAACTTGCGTGCTAGTATTTCTTTATTATATTTGATGTGATACAAAAACTTTAAAACTTTGCAGAGTGAATCAGAGGTGGAAAATCATGCAGAAGTCTCTGCTCAGACAGAACCAGTCAAATCGCAGGAAGAAATGGGGCAGAATCAGAGAGAGGTGGAGACAAAGGAACAAAACCATGTTCCTCGGAGGGTCTATCAGAATCAAAGAGGTGGTCGTGGTGGGGGTGGTGGTGGACGTAGAGGTTATTCCAATGGCCGTGGAGGTCGATACAGCAGCAGGGGAGGTGGGCCTTACCAAAATGGCCGCAGCCAATACTATGACCAGCCTGGAAATTATTACCCGAGGAACTATGCTTACAATAGGGGAAGGGGCGGCAGAGGCGGTGGTGGTGGGAACTCTAACTACAACCATGGTTCTGGAGGTCAAGCAGGTAATGACCCAGCAGATTCATAACTCATTTAGTTGCTTATATCTGTGGTGGGTGGTGAAAATGTTTTTGCTTACATGAAACGTGACTTTTCCAGTGGGTGGTGAAAATGTTTTTCCTTACATGAAACGTTTAAGGATGGATGTTGATGAGTGCACCTCCTTTTTGTAGTTCAGTGAATGGACATTTATTTATTTGGAAAAAAAAATTCGAAAAAGAAGGTTTAGTAAAGCTTCTCTCGCTGAACCATGGTAGTAAAATGATCAAAATTCCATGCAGCGGGAAAGAAGTTTTACATTCCCTTTCTTAAATATTATGTGAAGTAATTATGTCTTTTAGACAACATCAATATGTACATTTAGATTTACCATAGGTAGGTAGCCCAGGTGTAAGATTTGTACTTAGAATCAGGATCCCTTCATGTGTTGGGATTCTGTGTTTGTATCCTATACTGTTTTACGCAACACAATACATAGCTTATGAATAGTTGTTGCATGAGCGATGGTAAAGTTGTTGCGTTGGCACAGTACATACACGATGAAAATGGCACTGGAGAGGACCCGGGTTCTTGTACTTTTTCCCTCTTTCAGCTCTTGGAATCCAAGTTTTCAACACGTTAATGAGACGGACCGAATTTTAACACCTGGGTAGCCCAGGATGCTTTGAATTTACAACCTGGGTTACCCATTGACCGACTTAGTATTTCATTAAGGTGTTGAGAGCTTGGATTCCAAGAGCCGGAGGAATCCACAATACCAAGAACGCCTGGTAAATATTCCTACCTCCCAGTTTAAGGTGTTAGATCAAACATCCATATTGTACAAGACTTGGTCGCAAACTCGAATAAGAATAGTTCTGAGAGGATAGAATGTCGAAACAATAATTCTATTGCTGATATAAATGACACTGATACGGTGACCAAAATGCCAGAGCTAACATCCACTTCAATTGCAAGTTCATTCTGCATTGCAATTTGGCAGCACATTCCTTCAAAAAAAAAAAAAAAATCATCGTGTTGGCTGATCCTGTTAACAACAAGTACATATTGTAATTCTTGTGAATGAAGGATGTTTAGAGTGCTGGTTAAATCTATACTTGACTATCTTCTTACTAGGAAGTGACTTAACCTTAGATATATTTTCTTGGAAAATGATTTTAAAACCGATTTTTGAATAGTTGAAGATGTTTGAGTTTATCCACTACATCCACAGGGTACGTATTGACTTGAAAAATAGGTTCATGTAGGTAAATGCTTTGGTGGTGATAATTCGTATTTGCGGGTCATAATCGTGTTGACATGAGGGCATTCTACTGAAAAGATAAACCTAAACGTGAATTTTACTAAAAAGATAAACCTAAACATGACACAAAACCTAAACATGGCATTTTACTAGAAAGAAAAACCTAAACATGGCCCATCCATTTGATAATTGTGTTAACCTAAACATGATTCATTTAATAATTGTGCTAATTCAAACACGACCATTTAATTATCGTTTTAACTTCTTTAATAAATTATTTATCAAAACGAGACATTTAATTCTCAATGAGTTGTGATATTTACATTGAACACTTGTACTGAATTGTCTAATCGAATAATTTTTAATTGGTTATTTATATCAAATATAATTAAGTGGAGGGCTTGACTTCCTTATTTATTGCATAATTAGGTCTAGCAATTGATTGTAACTATTTGCTACAAGAATCATTTTTTATTTTCAATTAAACAATAAATACAAAAAAATATATAAGTCTCAATTAACCAAAATATTTAAAGTAAGGAAAAAAAAAACATCAAACACGTTAAATAGATAGAATTTAACACGGCACAAGTCAAGGTTTATGTTGAAATGATTAAACTATCCATAATAATTGGATCTAAACAAAATTACACATGTCATATTCACGATTATTAACACGTTGAGTTAAACGGGTTAAACTTTTCAATTTTAACACGATACGACTAAATAAACGAATTAATCATGTCAATCCATTTACGATTCGAACTCGTTTAAGGTTAATTATAAATTCGTTAATTTCGTGTCGTGTTCAGTTAGGCGGGTGGTGTTCAACTTTGCACCCCTAACAATTCCTTTTAGCTTTTATGTGCCGTGTTTTTACCAAAACAACTGTATTCCATTTTGTGTTTTCAATCAATATAGTGGTGGTTGATGTGAAGGCTGAAGCTACATCAATGTAATTGAATTCAAGTCTCAGTCTTTCTACTTCAGTGGAACTCTGTATCTATCGATGGCCATATCATATCACAGAATTGACTCTATTTGCCCAAAAAAAATAAATAATAATAATTAAAAAAAAAATTAAAACTGGTCCAGGAATATTAAACTTTTGTAGTTCCATGCCTTCATCTTTTGTGTGCTGCCCGCCAGCCAAGCGAATCTAACATCACCCCCCATCAAGTGATTGATGTAATTAAATGTTAGTGATGGCCACCCACAATTGGGACCATTACAAAAGGTGGCCATCATTAAACTACTACTTTTCACACACACACAAACACACACACTGGGTACAGAATATTGGTTGAAGAATCGTGTGTAAATTTGCCTGAACTCCGCCTCATGGTACACTGCAGGACACAAGCCATATTTGAACGTAGGGGACTTGATTTATTCTTGCTTAGAACATATTGAGAAGGAAAGTAAATATTGTTCACACGTCACAAACAACGTTGTCTAAAACATAGTTGGGAGGCAAGAGCCATTCTTTTCAACACTCAAATGGTAATTTGTGTCTTCAAACAAGTGCCAGAATTGGTGGCTCGTGTTCCTTCATTTAGTTGTGAAGATGTTGTTCGCTTTGCGCTACATAATCATTCACGATTTTCAAAATACGTCGATACAAGTAAGAGACAATTTTTTTATTTTTTATTTTTTTATTTTAAGTGCACACTTCTTTTTCCGGGCTACGTGGGATGTCACAATCACTCCTTGAAACCCAGCGTCCTTTCTGGCTTGATTCAAATGGGCTTGTGCACACTCTCCCTCCGACTGAAAATCAAACAATGCAATTATTAAGGCGCGCTCTACCACTGAACTAATAGCCCGTCATGCGAGCCTCCCATTAGGCTCGCTATGCCAAAAGCGAAAGAAACCCCATCCCTCTCTTTACTTTTTTCTCCCCCATGTCGTCACGGGGACGTAAAAAGGGGATCCTATCAACTTGTTGGACCTAAGACAACAAGCTTATGAGCTTAGTCTTATTTAACCATCGAGAAACAAAAAACAGACTTTCATCTCCAAGTTTAACTCAGATGTAGCTCCCGTCTTTTGAGTCGATTCTTGTTTGGGATTTATGTGGCTTGTGGGCTGTTACGTGTGTCTTGAAGTGCATTAGTCTTTTCCGTAAAATATGGAGGTACTTTCTTTGTAAATGAAAATAAAATAGAAATAAGCAGAAAAATGCTTTAATACGAATGGGCGGAAGTAATTGATACACCCCATTTTAAATTCAGACTAGAGAGAATATTTATTCTCCAAATATTGTCAAATGTAACAACGGTCCAAATTATTAAGGGTCCCATAAAAGGGCATCAAATGTTGTAGTATATTATGGTTTTAAAATTGTCCACTGCCACCATCAACCTCTATAAATAGACCTCCTTGACAACTCGAAATGTTCAAGTCATAGGTCATAATCTTCCTCGGCTCAAACTCAGTGAGAAGAGAGAGAGCTTCCAAGAGGAGGAAGAAGAAAAATGGGGTATGAATTGCTGGGCTCGCTATGCCAAAAGCGAAAGAAACCCTATCCCTCTCTTTACTTTTTTCGCCCTCGTGTCATTGTCACGGGGACGTAAAAAGGGAATCCTATCAACTTGTTGTGACCTAAGATAACAAGCTTATGAGCTTAGTTTTACTTAACCGTCGAGAAACAAAAGAAGACTTTCATTTCCAAGTTTAACTCAGACGTAACTCTCGTCTTTTGAGTCGATTCTTGTTTGAGATTTATGTGGCTTGTGGGCTGTTACGTGTGTCCTGAGGTGGATTAGTCTCTCCCGTAAAATATGGAGATTCTTTCTTTGTAAATAAAAATAACAATAAAAATAAGCAGTAAAATGCTTTAATACGAATGAACGGAAGTAATTGATACATCCCATTTTAAATTCAGACTAAAGAAAGTATTTATTCTTCAAATATTGTCAAATGTAACAACAACGGTCCAAATTATTAAGGGTCCCATAAAAGGGCATCAAATGTTGTTGTATATTATGGTTTTAAAATTGTCCACTACCACCATCAACCTGTATAAATAGACCTCCTCGACAACTCCAAATGTTCAAGTCATAGGTCATAATCTTCCTCGGCTCAAACCCAGTGAGAAGAGAGAGAGCTTCCAAGAGGAGGAGGAAGAAGAAAAATGGGGTATGAATTTTTTCCCATGAACCAATCAAATGGATCGTCGTCGACGAGTCCTTCCCTGGTTCTCGAGTTACATTCCTCTGCAAAATGGAGAGCTCATTTACAAGCCTCCAAAGAAAGTACCAAACTGGTAAAAATATGATCATTATCAACCCTCCTAAACTTGACTAATGCTTAGTTTTCAAAAACTTTTATCTTATATTTGCATCTACTGATTCATTTTCATTTTCATTGTCTTCTTTATTTTGGAATGAAGATTGTGATCGACTTCACGGCTTCATGGTGCCGACCTTGTAGATTCATAGAACCAACCATCAATGAGTTTGCTGCTAAATACACTGATGTCAAGTTCTTCAAGATAGATGTGGATGAATTGATGGTACATATTGCTCTTTTCTTTTTCTACAAATTTTTTCTATGCATTTTCTTCGATGACAAACAGAATGATACTAAGATATATATATATATATATATATATATATTGAATGAATGAATGAAAACAGAATGTGGCTCAGGAATTTGAGGTGCAAACATTGCCATCTTTTGTTCTGATAAAGGGAGGGATAGCAGTTGATAAGATTGTGGGTGTGAAGAAGGAAGAGCTCCAGAACAAAATTGAGAGACACATGGTTTAATGTTGATGAAGGGCTTGAGCACTTGAATTTTGTTGGATTTGGTTTGACAGAATCAGCAGAAGAAAGTACAAAGAACATGGAGATGATAGGAATCTCGATGTAATAAAAAACGAATCTATATACATTTATATTCAATAAAATGAATTTTTGATGCAAATTAACAATTCATTAAATACCCATTTGCCAAGTTCTTTCTTTCTCCCTTGTGTTTTAAATTATTAGATAATTTATCCTAAATCAAATTCCAGAGAACAGTAAAGCTTCGAAGGGTCTTTCTTTCAAGGTCCTTCAGTGACATATTTCTATGTAAATCTTACCAAGAAAAAACAGGGATTAGGGATTTGATTGAACAATATAAATGGAAAATTCATTTAGAGGAAGTTTTAAGTGAACCAAAACACTTGTGGGTTACTTTTCACAAATAATAATAATTATTATTTGGAGAATTTTTGTACTTCAACCCTTTGAACAGATTAGGTATATTCTGATTTTTGATTGCCTAAACTGGCCTCTGGGTGGAAGCCAAAGTTTATAAAACAATAGGAATATATCTAAATATTGAACTGACTTGTGGCTTCTTACCTCACTGATTCTCCACTTCTACTTTCCGCTTACATCTGCATGATTCTTCTCATCCTCTTTAGCTAGCTAGTCAGAAATGAGCATGAATAAAGAACATTATACAAGATATACAAGGTATGAACATGAAATGATCATAATCCACTGGAATGTTGATCAAGAAGTGGGTAGTGTGGTTCTAATTCAACTGAATGTTGGGAATATTAACTCCTTCAGACTAACTTTCATACCAGTTGTTGAGAATTAACTCCTCCATTTAAAAACAAAGGAAGCATATCATCACTCAACTCATCAAACATGCATATATGGAGATACAATCATACACTAATCAAGGGCTATGTGACACTATTATGAATGAAGAAGAGAATATACAACCAGATGCCTAACGTCACTCATTCACTCGTCATCTTGATGCGTATTGAGCTTCCGCTCTTAATTTGAATGATGCCTAACGTCATTCACTCACTCGTCATCTTGATGCTGCTTCTCTACCTTCTTCACCTAATCCTATAAATAGTATCTTCAATATATTTATTCTTGAATAAGGATTCTCATACCTTTTCTAACAAGAAGTTACCAAATCAATCACAACTCTAATAGACCTAATGAAAGTTCCTCCATAAGTTTACGGTCTTACTCCACAAGTCTGTACCCTTTAGAAAAGAACATCTTCTATTTAAGTAGTTCTTTGTGAGAAGTTCTACAACACCCGGGGTCTTGCAGCTGTTGGATCATCCATCAAGTGGGCCCCACCACCACATCTAACAGCTGGAAGACCCGGAGGTACGGTACCCCATAATATTCTAGAATTTTTCCCAATTCTCGACACCCTGTGTGATCGTTATTAGTAACTATTTGACGAATGGGAAACCTGTGGAATCACCAAGGACAATTTAGCTCAATACATAAATGGAACATTCTCGAAACAGAATACTTTTTACAGGATAGAATGTCAAAAAAAAAAATTCCACTGCTGATCTCAGTGGCACTGCTTTTGTGAGTGGAATGCCATTGCAAACCACCAGTTTCAACTGCAAAGTACCTTTTGCTTAATTGTTCTATGGGAGATTCCATCTATTTAAAATAGAGAAATGAATTGTTCCAGAAAGGAATTTCTGCTTTCTATTTACACTTTTACGTCCACTAAATCTAACAAAAAAGTTAAGAAGCATAAAAGTAAAGCAGCACAGACAATCTTCTAGGGGTGCTGTGGCAGCATGCCAGATATGCATGAGTCCGATACAGCTAAAAGTGAGCACGAAAAGAACGTGTTCTGAACACTTTTAAGACACGATGAGGTAATTTTGCAATTAATTTTTAAGAAAAGGGTCTCAATGTAATTTTAAAATATATTATGAGATAATCAGAAAAATAATATAAGGTTTTAGTAAACAATAACATCCATTGCTGTGTTCATGTAGTTTTGGTATCCATGCTTAGCATGAAAGAAGGAATACCAAGATGGTGCGCTAATTAGGCACAGCCCCAATGTGATGTGCCTTTCACATAGATTTTCATACCTGCAATTAGCATGTTAGCTTGGAAGCCCATGTTTCACATTTTTCATGCGATAAAAAATAATGTACTTTGCCTACCAATTGATGCTCTAAGATGATGTTGATGGACACCCAAAGTTGATAAATTGGGACCCTCACGAAGCAGATTCTCATATCAGCAATTCAATCACTCTTTGTATAAAATGCACGCAATTTGAACTCCAGGACAAGTTTGTACTCAACACCATGATGTGGTGGACTTAACTTTTTCCTACATAGAAGGACTAAATATTGAGAAGAAAAGTAAGTTTTAAAGACTAATCAGCACATCACAAGCTGCATTGTCTAAACTCTAGTTAGGAGGTAATAACAGTGTCATCTTCCTAAACTCTTAATGCCAAGCCCCATCTTCATAAACACATACCCATTGCCCCATCTTGACAGTTTCTTTCTCCTATTTTCTTTCTTACCAAACAAACTGAAAGATACTAAATGAATAACTGAAAGCAGGATTTGACTCAGGAACTAGAAGAAAATAGAGAAGCACTGAGTTAACATTACTTGTGCTGGCACTTTATGATGCTTCGAGCAAGGCTCTGGCTCATATGTCTAGTGGTGTGGCGAACTGTTGTAGAATCGTGTGTGGTTGTCTGAACTCCTCATGGTACACTCAGGACACAGGTCAGTATCTAACAATCTATGCCATATATGAATGTAGTGGACTTGATTTATTCTTGCTTAAACATATTGGGAAGGAAAGTAAATATTCGTTGACACAACACAAACAACATTGTCTGGTTATATTACCTGAACTCGGGTACATGTGTGGGGTACTGGTATGTATTTATGCAACATATGTGTCAAATCTCCAAATAGAACACACTGAACATAGTGTTTAGAGTGAAATAATGTCTTTATGTAAGGTAGTGTCTAATATAAGTATCTCCCTGATTTTGAAGCAAATCATATAATAAAATTAAATTATTCAATGCATATTTTAGGCGCATGTCCAACCAAATGTGTCGAACACATATCCCATACCCACGTTCAAGTATTTTGTGTGGATGCTTCACCTACTTTTGGAGAGTTCATCTAACATAGGTTAGGAGGCAAGAGCACTCTGTTCAGCACTCAGAATGCCAAGCTGTGTCTTCAAACAAGTACCACCAGTGCTGAATTGGTAGTTCTTGTTCCTTCATTTAGCTGTGACTAATAGCAGAAATTATGTAATACCACAATATATACCAGCAGATTTGGAAATAAATTTACTTATTCTGTTAAAAACATTCATTAGTTGCCCCATATGTTTCCATTCCAACCTGGGAGTTATGTATCAAATGCAAAAGTCAATTTGTAATGGGCAGGAAATGATTTAATATGAATGAGTGGCAGTAATTGATTAAACCCCTTATTTAAACCAGACTAACTTTAGTTTTAGAGGGTACTTATGCTCCAAATCTTTCCAACTTTGTCTCCAACGGTCCAAATTATAAAGGGTCCCATGAAGGGCATCAAATGCTATATTAAGTTATGGTTTTAAAATTGTCCGCTACCACCATCAACCTGTATAAATAGGCCTCCTTGACAACTCCAAATGTTCAAGTTATAGGTTATACATCTTCCTAAGCTCAAAGTCAGTGAGAAGAGAGAGCTTCTAAGGGGAAGAAGAAGAAGAAGAAAAAGAAGAAAAATGGGGTATGAATTTTTTCCCATGAACCAATCAAACGGATTGTCATCGACAAGTCCTTCCCTGGTTCTTGAGCTACATTCCTCTGCCAAATGGAGAGCCCATTTACAAGCCTCCAAAGAAAGTACCAAACTGGTAACAATATGACCATCATCAACCCTCCTAAACTTGACTAATGCTTAGTTTTCAAATTTTTATCTTATATTTACATCTATTGATTGATTTTCCTTTTTTTCTTTATTTTTTCATGAAGATTGTGATTGACTTCACGGCTTCATGGTGCCGACCTTGTGGATTCATAGAACCAGCTATCAATGAGTTTGCTGCTAAATATACTGATGTCAAGTTCATCAAGATAGATGTGGATGAATTGATGGTATATATTGCTCTTTTCCCTTTCACTTTCGGGGAAATTTTTTCTATGTTTTTTTCTTAGCAGACAAACAGAATGATACTAATATATGTTGAATGAATGACCGAAAACAGGATGTGGCTCAGGAATTTGAGGTGCAAACATTGCCAACTTTTGTTCTGATAAAGGAAGGGGTAGCAGTTGATAAGATTGTGGGTGTGAAGAAGGAAGAACTCCAGAACAAAATTGAGAAACACATGGTTTAATGCTATTTGAGTTGAACTCTGTTGGGTTTGGTGAGTTTGGTTTAACAAAGTTGTGATGACAGAGGCAGAGGAAACAAGTAGAAAGAATTGGTGGTGATACCAATCTCAATGTAATAAAAAATCTATAAACAGTTACAATTAATAAAATGAATTTTTGATTAAAATTCACAATTCATAAATACCCATTAGCTAATATCTTTCTTTCTCCCTTGCTTTTAAATTATTAGATACTTTAGCCCAAAGCCATTTCCAAGAAACAGTAAAGCTTCATAGGGTCTTTCTTTCAAGGTGCACCCACGGAAAATATTTAAAAAACTACTGTTACATTAGCATTACTCACGTCAGTGGCATAATTCTACGTAGGTCTTATCAAGAAAATGGTTTGTTTAATCTACTGGTAAATTCAAGCTTTTTAATAATATTCTGATAACCAGAATATTAGTGATTGCCTCAACTGGCCTCTGGGTGTAGGCCTAAGTTTATAAAACAGCAGGAATCTAAACTGATCGTAAATTTTTTTTTTTTTTTTTTTTTTTTTTTTTTTTTTTTTTCTGATAAGTAAACTGATAGTAATTGAATTGACTTGTGGCTTCTTACCTCACTGATTCTCCACTTGTACTTTCTGTTCACTTCTGTATGATTCTCATCCCCTTTAGCTAGTCAGAATTGGCATGAATAAAAAACATAATACAAGACATACAGGGTACTAACATGAAATTAACATAATACAAGACACATTTAGAAGTGTTCTGAAATTCGAATAGTTTTTAGGACACATCATGAACACGACAGGTTCATGTCTGAGACACGGACGGGGTAGCTTTGCAACTTTATTTTTTAAAAAATGTTTCGATATAGTTTTAAAATATATTAAATTAGAAAAATAAAAAAAATCCATCTAGCCCCAAGATGTTAGTAATTATATTCATGATAATATAGATAAAATCAACAAAAACAATATTTTTTTGTTTATATGTAATTATTTTTTTAAAGGATGTGTCCGTATTTTTTTTCTTTTTCTTTTAAATTTGTTGATCGCCGTGTTCATATTGTGTCAGAGTCCCTATCCATGCTTAGCATAAAAGAAGGAATACTATGACGGTCCGCAAAATTAGGCACAGCTGTAATTTGATGTGCCTTTTCACAAAGATTTTCACATTTTTCATGTGATAAAAAAGAAAAAAAATGTAACCTACCAAGTGATGCTCTAAAAGGATGTTGATAGACACACACCGTTAATAAATTGGGACCATCTCAAAGCAGATTCTCACATCAGCAATTTAATTACCTTGTAAACATTGCATGCAATATTGACGGAAAAGCCACGTGTAATTTGAATTCCTGTTACTCTGCAGCCAAGTTTTTAATCGACACTATGGATGTGGTAGTCTTAATCTCTTCCTACATAAAAGGACTGAATATTGAAAAGAAAAGTAAGTTTAGAAAACTAATCTAGTTAGGAGGTAACAACAGTGTCGTCTTTCTACACACTACTGCCAAGCCCCATCTTCATAAACACGTACCCATTGCCCCGTCTTGACGGTTTCTTTCTCCTATTTTCTTTCTTAGCAAACAAACTGAAAGATGCTAATAAACATTGAATGAATAGCTGAAAACAGGTTGTGGCTCAGGAATTAGAAGAAAATAGAGATGTACTGAGTTAGCATTACCTGTGACAGCACGTTAAGATGCTCTGACCAAGGCTCTGGCTCATATGGCTGGTGGTGTGGTGGGAGAAACTGTTGTAGGTCCTTGCTCCAGTCCCTGCTAGGCAGACTGTCATGTTGAAACTGTTTCAGGTGCCCAAGTGCTCTAAAGCACACTCCTTCATATACCTCGTTTCTCTCCTCTATTCCAACAATTTATCAATGATCAGCACCTACCCAGAACTGTCTGAACCTGGATCAAACCTATAAACTTGGTTGGACACCTTTGTAATTGGAGACAACCAGCTTGCTCATTAAAAACATGGTATGATTCGACGATGGCTGTTGACTAAATCAAGTAGGGTTGGTGTTTAAAAGTTTTTGACCCCAGTGGTCCTATCAGAAATCAATGGCTTACTTATTAAGTCATGCATTAGGGGCAAAAATTATAGTCTCAAACACCACATTTTATCAAAACTGCAGAGCAGAACAAATGAAGATGGTTAAAAAGATCGGATTAATCACAGAATTCTCAAACTGAATAAACATTAAAGTATCTGGTACAGATGGTCTAGTTAGTACATAAAACACCCACACACACATCATAGCAAAACTATAGAAGCATGATTACTTGATAGCAAACAATAGAAGCATGACATTTTTTCAAGTCAGATCCATTGCATACAGTTGGGCAGAAATTAACCTACTGCTTGTGTAACCTATCTATAATATCACTACAGTGAACCATAAACGCAAGTCTATCACTTGTTCATAGGTCCAGAGTTTACACGCCTCCATCTCGCAGAACTATTTTCCAAAAATTGGTACCTTGTGAGTTGTGAAATGGGATACTGAATTACATTCAACTAGATCCATAGGAATGTAATTCACACACACACACACACACATCATAGCAAAACTATAGAAGCATGATTACTTGATAGCAAACAATAGAAGCATGACATTTTTTCAAGTCAGATCCATTGCATACAGTTGGGCAGAAATTAACCTACTGCATGTGTAACCTATCTACAATATCACTGCAGTGAACCATAAACGTAAGTCTATCACTTGTTCATAGGTCCAGAGTTTACACGCCTCCATCTTGCTGAACTATTTTCCAAAAATTGGTACCTTGTGAGTTGTGAAATGGGATACTGAATTACATTCAACTAGATCCATAGGGTATTCTGAACAATCTACTACCAAAAATAGACACTTGCAGAGGTCAGTCCTAATCAAATGTCTACAACATTACACTCAAAATTCAACTTTCGGCATCTTACGTGTTGTCCTTTCAGCAACAAACGAGGCCATTAAGAAAGTTGTTCCTTCCTCAATGTGGTAAGCAAACAAATGCTACAACAGATATACACATCCCGCCAATGAATCCACAAAAAATCCCACCTCTCACTCAAAACAGGAAAGTGGGAAATGGAAAATCATTAGACATGGCAGCTCACTCAATCTCCTCAATCACAACCTTGCCCGTGGTTGCTTTGTCCTCCATTTTCAGAGCACCACTACTCTTGCCTCCATAATCCATAGCTGAACCCTTCTCTGCCTTAACAATAGCTGCCAAGGAAGCCCAAGCTTCCCCTGGCTGCTCGTGGACCCAACACATCATAAAAAAGGTCTTCCTCTCAGCAAGCTTGAGCTTACTCCTGATTTCCGCTCTTCTCGACTTTCTTGGTTTCTCCAACTTCAATTCCCTCTCTGCAGCCTGAATCAGCCTCTGCAAATCACAGAGCAAGCATACTAAAGCAGAGCCCCCAAGGTAGAGTAGGCTTATGACATCATCCAGAAGAGCAAGACCAAACTGCAAGCCACCCATGTGTTTGAAATCAGGGGAGCAAGTTTTCTCCAAGCAACAAGACAGAGCTTCCGAAACAGTTTCTGGCTGCCCACCTTGACCCAAAACAGAAGATATACTCAAAATGTCCATGGCTGAGCCTATGGCATCTGACTGCCAATCCCCATTGTAGAGGCGAAGGGTGAAACAGTAGCTATATATGATGTCAACTAGGTGAACAGCTAATAGTGGGGATGGCTCAGTTGAGCTGAGCTTGCTGACTGGGGGGAGTGGTGTTTCAGGGCCAGGTGGAATGTCATGGGATTGATCACTTTCCTTATACTCTTGCTTTGATATCACTGTTTCTTGATTGATAAGTGGTTGGACAAGCTGGGTTCCATCCTGGCTGAGAGAGATTGTCCTAGCAGAGGGTTTCAACCACCATGGATCCCACGGCTCTATAAACTTACTCAGCTCTCCAGAAGCCATAGCTCTTTGGAGACGTTTCTTTTCTTCAGCAGATAAATCATCATAACTGAGTTGACCTCCTGAAGAAAGGGACGAGCGAATCAACTCAGATCAGCCAGAGCAATAAAATGTAGACCAGAGAACACTTGAATGAGCACATCAACTCAGTGCTAGTACCTCTAAACAAAAGAAAGGAACACAGAATATACCAGACAAAAACTTTTGGACAGTCTCCTCTGACAAAGTTGAATCTGGCAAAAAAATAAAAAATAAAAATAAAAATTTAAGGATACAGCCAAGGACTATTTCTGATGAAAAAAATGGCATTATTAGCAGTAAATGGAATGCTTTAGCTAGTAGAATCCCATAACATGATTATCCAAAAACAAATTGACCAAAACAAATACTGGAGCAAATAGAACAAGGAATAGATTGATAACTAAACCAATGATAACAATCAAATGCTTACTATAAATTTTCTCCTTTATGTTACCGCAAAGTTCACAAGCAATGACAATGTATTAGATGAATTACTAGTCATTTCCCCCTCAACAAAGATAAATTATTAGTGTCAATAATCTACGAGCAGATAACTTTCTTGATTGCCAGAATTTTCAATTAATTTTCAGGAACCATTCAAAGAGAAGTATAATTTCCATGCAAGTCTGTGACATTATCAGAATATCGCAAAAATATTTTCAGATTACAACTATGATGCCTAAAATAAAACTTGACCAGTTTCACCAACATATATTTCAGAGAACCTTAAAGAAAAGACAATAAAAAAAAACATATATTTCAGAGAAGTAAAATTCTTATTCTAAGAATCAAATACCATCCTCATCCATGCTATCCATATCTTCCTCTGAGTGAAATCTTTTTAGTATGTCCAGCATTTTCTGTTTAGATTCATCATCAGGTTGCAAATGCTGCAGCTCCTCCACTACATTCTCTCTCATGAAAGATTCAGTGCACCGAAGGCTATGAGACTGCAACAAAATACCAACCAAAAGTCCTCAGAAAGCAGAACAGACTGTATCAATGATAACAATATCCACTGGAGTCGAATACACTGTGACAAAAGTTAAAGCTTCATTCATGATTGATAAAGAAAAAAGGTAAGAAGCTTATATGCCTTGTCAGCAGCATAAGATCCTTAAGAAATTCATTTAGAACCCTTGTAGACTGAATTTTGCACGAATTGGTGATTACCTTGTAACACTGAAGGGAGCAATACCGGCTGTTACATCGAGGGCAAGTATATTGTGAAAACTGCTTTTGACATCTGGATTAAAATCAAATAAATTTAAGAAACAGAAGGTCCATTTTGTAGATTGAGAATGTTAATGAAACAATCCCATAGAAATACTGTAAAGAAATCAAAACCCTGAACTTCATTAATATAGTGAGAGCATGCTAAGATACATGATAAAATGAGTTCTAAAAATACCAATAATATAAATTCATGGTAGAACCAGTTCTAGCATTGTTACCTAAGGAAAGTATATTTTCTCCTGCAAGAGTACCACACTATGGTGAATTGAATCATGAAGCATTTGGAGAAAGAAATCTATTTCAGGGTACATTCAGTGTAGGATATGAGAGGCGATAGTTTTTATGTGAGGAAAGGTAAATCATTTTCATTTGAAAGCTCTTCTACCTACATTTCAGGGTACATTCATAGTTTTTACCTGAGGAAAGGTAAATTATTTTCACTTTGGCCTATCTCCAGGAAAATATAAAAAATTCCACACTGTAAGGATACTCTTGTTCTTCTGTGTGGTAATATTTAGAATTTTTGAATATCTTAGAAGTCACTGTTAAGAATTAACATTTAAACCCTAATTTATGTGGACATAAATAATGTTGCCTGTGAACAGACAATCAGCTAGTAAGTTTTTGAACAAAAAATATCACAAAGACTGTGATTCCAAATTGTCTTATCATCAATTTAGAAAGGAAAAAAAAAAAAAAAACGAAGTAAAACAAGCCCATAAAATAGAAACCATTGTTTGAAGCAACCTAAGTTGGATTCAAACATCTAAAACAAGAAACCACAGTTGCTGCTGAAAAAGACGCATCAAATTGTGGCTGAAAAGAAGAAAACACAAAAGGGTTACAGAGAGTATACACCAATCAGAATTACCTAATTAGAAGAACATATACACACATATGTGTGTGTGTGTGAGTGACAATGAGAAGTAATGCCCAGAATGGACTGTAATCAATGAAATGGAGCCCATATTACTACTTAGCTCTTCAATTTTTTTTTTTTTTTTTCATAGTTGATACTCACACAAACACGCCTCCAAGTTCATCATATTCAACGACACAAGAGCTATATAAGCAAAACTTATATTTTCCACAGAACATCAACAAAGATACATGAAACTGAAACCGAAATATCAAAATCCAAAACAAAATCAATCAGCAAAGAAATGAAACAGTAAAACCTTAAAACATTGAATAATACATAGAATTCACCATGAAATGTTAACATATATATATATATATATATATATATATATATATAATTGAGGAGAAAAATAGAAGAAAGAAATTAGTGGGAAGTTGAAGGAGATACACGTGGCAGATTATGCGCGACGACGACGGATTCAGATGGGACGAAGAGGATGGTGTATCAGAAGTGATGATTGAGTCCGCCATAACCACGACTGGTGAAGACTCTGGAAGAGATGAAGAAATGTATAAGCCAATCAAGCGGTTGCTAATGCTAGGGTTTGTATTAGGGATTGAAGATAGCAATTGAAACTCTGAAACACACTGAACAGAAAAATCCCAATTTGCGTTAATTTTACAGGAAAGCACCGGAAAGTGCGAGCCACACTGAGGTGGAAGAAGGCGGCTCTTACGGGAGTCCAGTTGATTCTAGAGTCTTTAAAGGGTGTTTTTGAAATTTATTTATTTATTTATTTATTTATTTTGTGAATTCTATACATGAGTTGTTTTTTAATTGAATTTAAATTGGTTAAAAAAAAAAAATTGAATTTAAATTATATGATGCAGTTCGTTAATTTACTAAAATTTAGAGGAATATAAAGTGAAAAAAATTGGATTCCATCTCATTTTTTGAAAGAAACTATAATGGGTGTACTTTTATTTCGTAAGAGTATAAATCGATTAAATAAACAAGAATTTCAAAAGTACAATTTATTGATTTTATGTTTTTTTTTTTTTTTTTTTAAAATGAAAAGAAGGACTTTAGTGATAGTTTTTGTTTTTGTTTTATTTTATTTTATGGTTAATTAAACTGAAAAAGCCACTACCCTTATGGCCAGATTTTTATTTATTTATTTATTTCTTTTCTGATTAAATTTGTAAGGTGAGAAAAATTCAATTACTCGTACAATTATTCTTTAGCAAATTATGTTTAATTCAGTTCAGTTACTTTAAATTTTGAAATGATTTATAAATTTTAAATTCGTGTAATTATTCGCAAATCACACTTATCATTCAAATAACCCAAATTTTTTAATATTTTTATTTGAATAAAATAATTTATAAAATTTGAACGATTTATAGATTATTCGCAAATCACACAAATCATTCGAACAACTCCAAATTTTTTTTATTTTTTTGTTTGAATAAAATAATTTATAAATTTTGAACGATTTATAGATTTTAAATTCGTGCACTCAGTCGCAAATCACACATATCATTCAAACAACTCCGAGTATTTTTATACTTTTGTTTGAATCGAATAATTTATAAATTTTGAACGCATATATCATTTAATCTCAATATTTTATGCTTTTGTGAGAATCGAACTTAAAACATTGACTTATGTATTAGCCCTGCATGCTCAATCAAACCATAATAAAAATATTTGCACTTCTAAATACTGTTTGTTTAGTCCTGAAAATTGAAATGCAGAGCTGAAAATTTTAGCCCATCAATTTTGTACAGTATTGTTTTTATTTTGTGGAAATAAAATACAAACCATTCAGGAAAGAAAAAAAGAAAAAGAAAAAAGATTAAAAGTTTATATACTAGTGTAGAAATTTGCTAGTGAGGTCACCTTCAGAAACAAAGTTCAAATTATCCATGAGAATTTGTACAAGAAAATACACTTTCTAGCCATCACAACCTGCTATTATTTTCAACAGTGGTAACATAAGATATTACATGGTCAGTAGTTTTCTGTCCTCTCACAAGTTACAAGCACTGAAGCTGGGAACTATTTGAAGTATGCAGTCTCTAAAGCCTTGGCTTTCTCACCTGCAACTTCAGCTTCTTGCTTCCCTAACATGGAATAACCTCTCTCCTGAAATTATATAAACTCATTCGTTAACGGTCTCCCTGCAGACTAATCTTGTAAACCTCATACTTAAATTTAGATCGACCAACGGTCTAAGCAAAAAGACCAACCATATCAAAGGAAGAAAAATACCAGCAGGCGCCACAAGAATGGAACTCCTTCCCTCTTCTTCACCTGCTTCTCAAGGACTTCGATTGCTATAAATATGCAAATATTATGTTTAGAAATTATTAAATGAACTACCATGAAGGTCGAATGAGAGAAAAAATGGTGATCATATCGTACACTTCCCAGCTTGTCCGGTATTCAGAAGCATACTGTACCAAACTTCGTTAAAGACATCGAGTTGTTCATCAGAAGCGCCGATCATCTACCATAGAGAAACAAAATTCACATATTTTCTCCAAAATACAAGGAAATGTAGCTTCAACATAGACAGATAGACTAGCTAATTGGTACTTGATAATAGTACCTTACAGTGGTAAGCATCAAAATCTGGACCAAGCAATTCCAATGCCTGTTTGTAGTCACCTTTGCCGTACTCGTATAAGGCTTCTGCAAGCTAAGAACAAATAGAAAAATGTAGAGTATATATGCATGTATAATTGCATATATAGCACAGCTAGCACTCTTTTTGGTTTGGCATATATATGTATAATTCTAACAAATATATTATGTATATAAGAAATCAAACTTGAATAAACTTAAAAATAAATAAACTACAGCTTTGAAAAATGTTCACACTAGTAAAGCAAATTTTTCTCACACCAGGTATCATGATCCTTTATGAGTCAACTAATCCTTACGGATGTGCGTGATCACCAGGAAATCGCGTTCATCAGGTGAAGCATGGAGATTCAAACCTCCGGCAACTGGCTGGTTTACGAGCCTATCACCTTGGCCAACTTGGCCACCCATGTAGGTTTCAGATGTGCAAGCTTTATAGCACAACTATGTGCTCCACTTTTCATGAAAGTTCCATTCACCTTAAAACAATAGCGATGCCAACCCTAGCCCAAAACAATCATGGTTCTCTATGCAAACTTGTGAGTAAAATATATTGGTTAGAGGAGGAGTTCCTCTTTGAGGATCTCTGACATAAGTTATACTATCTTCATATTTCAGAAAGAACCAACACTTCTGTCCCTTGAGCTAAAGAGTTCGGTAGAGTTGTGATTTTGACTGGAATGGTCTCATATGCAGCAAATACCAAATCACAAACATAGCAAGTACAAAACAACCAAACAAACATGATGACTATAACAAGTGAGACAAAGCAACTGGAACAAACCCGCATTCCTTTCTCCATCAGTTGTTGCTTCTTCTTCCTCATCAAAGAAAATCTACATGGACAACACACTTATAGTGAATTAAATGCCAGACTGACAAAGATGCTGCAGCGGTACGGTGCAAGATCCCCCTAACCTGGATTTCAAGCCCTTGAGTAAATCTTCAGCTTTAGCAAGTTCTCCTGTACAAGCTAACGCCCATAATATCAACGAATCCATGTGCCACACCAAATACCAAAAGGCCTGAAAATTGTGTGCATCAATGAAATGGAAAAACAAATTATTGTTGAGCTGAATCATAAATTCAAACTACACAGGGTGAATGCATATAAATCCTATTTTGACAATGACACATGGGAAAAAGAAAAAAAAGAAAAAAGAAAAAAAAAAGAAGGTAAATCGCATTATGAGAAAATTTATTACACAGGAAAAAAGAAATTCACAAAAAATTCTACAAACTGATACATACACATATATTAAGGTGTATGGCATGAAATGAGAAAAAAACTCAAGCACCTTTAACTATGTTCTACTTCTTTTCTTTTGTGTTGTGAAAGTTAATGCAGACCTTGCATTCATCAGCGCAACAAATTTGTAAAAATCTTTAAAATATTTCAAGAGCTAAATTTCTCCTTCATAATGCTGTAAAATCGGCTTCATTGCCATTGTGCGCATATGCTACTTCACGTTGACATTAGCATAAAAGCAAAGAAAAAATTTGTGACACTAGTGTAGGTGCCTGAAACAATGCAGGAGCAGCAGGACACAACATTTCAGCATTCTGAGTACTGAATGGAAGTGCTTAAGGTAAAGTTTCCAAGTTAAATACAAATTTTATTTTTATTTTTTTCCTGGGCAGTTAAATACAATTTATAAACCATATAACATTGAAGAGATAAACATCATCATCAACGGAAGCAGTCATCTCAGCTATAAAAATCCAACTATATGGCATGTTATCTGGTTATGGCCATATCACACATTATTAACGTGCCTTTGATATTCTTTCCCATTACATGTCTTTTACAGCTTTACAGTCATCGTCAAAGGAAAGAAAGGAAGTTGAAAGCTCTACTACAAGATTTATGATTTCAATTGATATGGTAGAGGTGCAGAGCTGCAAGCCTTTGAATGTTAAATATTGTTGTTCTAGAAATGCCTTCATGCACGGAAGAGAATCATGGTTCTAGCCTGCAACAACCTTGTTCCAACTGACTACACCATGATCGAAAACAAAACAATAATTCTCAAAATGCAGTTTTTGGTGCTTTTAATTGACCTAAGTTGGTTTCCATAAGACATACTATCCAAAAATATTAATGGATATTTTTTTGCCTAAAAAGAACATCCCCACAAAATTAGAACTTCAATTACCTCAATTTTTAATAGAGTAATAGAAATTAGCCCCTCATAAGTTGTATAACAGATCTAAGTAAAATGTTATGCAAAAATGATGTTTCAACTTTCTTATCCAATAACCAGAAAAGAAAAGAAAAGAAAAAATTTAATCCAACTTACTTGATCTTTCACACAACCTGCTAAAATCTGCAGACGGTCCCCAAAGAAATCAATTTCACCCCGTACATACACCCGCAATAACAAACCAAGAGCATTTAAGTACACCTGAATGCTTGAAAAGCTAGAACTTGTCATTACATTAAAATGAATCATAGTTAAGAGAAATAATAAATAAATTAAATGTATACCTCAGGAGGCATTGTATCACTTTTTTCTAATTCCTTCCAGATACAATGATCATAAACTTCAAGGACTTTTCTCATGGGAGAATGGCCCTCCAAATAACAAAGGGCTACATGCCACCAATTGTGTGTGTACCTGAAGGTTAAATTTGTTTAGCTATCTAAACCATCCAAGGATAACTTCTCTCAAATGACTTCAAACATACATAAAAGCGCACAAAGAGCTCCATGATTGTGAGCATTCTTCCATGAACCCAACTGCTTCCTTAAAACAACACTCAGCCTGAAGCACATGACATAACTGCACAAGAATAAGAATGCTATGAGAACCAATTGATGAGAGAAATTCAGTGAAGCAAGCAACTGATAAACAAAAAAGTTTCATGTCATGGGCATTTACCAAAAATGAGACAACATATATTATTATTATTTTACACTTTTTTCCATACTTAAAGCATTGAACCAAGTTCATATTTGTGATCCCATTTTTCCAGAATTTTTAATTTTTTTATTATTTTTTATGACGATGATTAGAATTTATTAGGACAAACTTTGATGGGGCGCAATTCAAAGCACCCAACATTAGAAACCAAAAGGATTTATGCTTTACTAAATATGCTGATAGATTGG